TACCAGAGCTCACACAGGGCTGGAAGACAGTGAGTTCTGGTGACCCAGGATGTAGCTCCTCAATGATCTCTGGGGCATTCGATCAACACTAGAAAGATCAAAGCACAGCTGTAAAGCTCAACTAGGGATAAAGACTACTCTAGGCACACCCTAAAAAAGGTTAAAAACAAGCATGAAAAGGATCAAGCTGCTAATCAAATAACTGCCTGTGAAAACAAAGTTCAACGCTGTTTAAAGAAAGAGGGTTTCACTGGATGGTCATTAAAGCAAGTTAGACTGCAAAAGATTAGTGAACTTAAAGGCAACAGAAACTATTCAAACTGAAGGACGGTGAGAAAAAGTCTGGAAAAAAGATAGAAACCCTGTGATTTACGGGCACTATCATTAAGTCAGAGATGTAACTAGAGTCTCAGAGGAGAGGGCAGAAAAATAATTGAAGAAAATGGCTAAATTTTCCTAAATTTGATAAAAAACACAAATCCACAAATCCAAGAACTGAAACAAATGTAAAGCCAGTATAAAGCAGTATGCACACAAAGAAAAATCACGCCAAGACACATCTTAAACTGCTGGAATTGGTCATAAAGAGAAGTTGTAAATCTTACAAGGAGCCATAGGAAGTAAAATAAAACAAAAAACAGATAGGAAAAAGTTAGAATGCAGATGTCTCCTCAGAAACAATGCAAACTGAAACACAAAACTGTATTTTTAAGATACAGAAAGAAAAACTGTCAAACTACAATTTTATACCCATTAAAAATGCTTTTCAAAAAAGAATGCAAGGGCTTCCCTGGTGGTGCAGTGGTTGGAAGTCCGCGTGCCGATGCAGGGGACACAGGTTAGTGCCCTGGTCTGGGAGGACCCCGTGTGCCGTGGAGCGGCTGGGCCTGTGGGCCGTGGCCGCTGGGCCTGCATGTCCGGAGCCTGTGCTCCGTGGCAGGAGAGGCGGCAGTGAGAGGCCCGCGTACGGCAAAAAGAAAAAAAATAAAAAATAAAAAATAAAAAATAAAGCCATTTTAGGCCAAACACCCCTCCCCCGAAAAACAAAAACAAAAACCTGGGAGAATTCACCAGAAGATCTGCCCCACAAGAAAAGCTAAACCTGTTTCAGAGCAAAGGAAAATTACATCAGATTGAAATTTGAATATACAGAAAAAGCAATGAAGAAATGAGTCAGTGGAGGGCTACTTCTACTAATTGAAACAGGAGGAGATTGAGTAATTTCCCTCCACAGAAAAGTATAAAAAGACAGAATTGTCAAAAAATAACCAATCATGACACTGAAAATTGATCAAAATCAGACAAATTTGAAAAATGTTTATTGTTGAAAAACTAGATCTGGACAAAAATGGTAGCAACTCCATGACTTTCTATACTTGGTATTACTACCTTGTACCTACCACTTCTTCAGTAAAAACTGTACCTTTATAAGTTTAAGGCTAGTTGCAGCCAGAGTATTAGACTGAATTAACAGTTGGGAACAAGGAAAACCCACAGCTTTGCTAAACCAAGGTTGCAAGTCCAGTTCATGGCCACTAAGAAATCAATCAGATAGTGAACTGAGAGATCCTGGAAGTGAAAGAGCCACACAGTGGCTAAGACAAGCTCTTAATTCACATATATCTGACCAACCGCTTAAGTAGAAAAATGAAAACCAAGGGATACTGAGAACTGGTTGCAACCTTGAATGTGTTCCTCAACCCACATATAGCTCAGCAGACTTAAAGTCTCAACTTGAAGATGTGTGAGTTCACACTCCACCCAAATCATTGGGTTGACCACTAAGCTATGCAGACAGAAAGATGAAGCCAGGCTAAAATAAAAACAACTGAGCAGAAACATCAGTGGCAGCACAATGCAAGGCAGATAAATTACAGAGTTTAAGCATAGGTAAGCTAGGAAACAAACAAAAAACATTAAAAAAAAAAATCAGAAAACCAAGAGAATCCAAAGTTACTAAAATGTATTATCTAAAAGTAAAGTTTTCAGCCACAAAATTACCAGACATTGGTGTAGGGGAAGAGGGAAGAAGTATAATGATACACAAGGGAAAAAGCAGTCAATAGAAACTGACTGAGTGGGACCAGATGCTGGGTTCAGGAAAGACTTCAAAGCAACTATTACAAACATGTTCAAAGAATTAAAGGAAAACATGCTAACAAGGAGACAGAAAATAGGAAATCGTAATAGAAACACTGAAACTATATAGAACAAAATGGAAATTCTAGAGTTAAAATGTACGAACACTAAAGTGAAAAATAAATTAGATGAGATACCAGATATGAAATGGCAGAAGGATTCAGCGAGTTTGAAGATTTATCAATAAAATTATCCAAGCCAAAGAACTCAGAGAAAAAAGACAAAGAAAAATGAACAGAGAGATCAGCCACCTGTGGGCCAATGTCAAGTATTCCAGGATGTAAGTAAAAGGAGTCTCAAAGTAGATGAGAAAAAAAGGAAAGAAAAAAGGTTTGAATAAATAATGGCAAAAAAAATTCCCTAAATTGATACTATAATACTAATAGTACTCATAATAATCTGATCCAAGAAACTAAACAAAGCCCAAGTAAGATAAACACAAAGAACTACAACTAGTTAACATCATAGTCATATTGCTAAAAGCCAAAGAAAAAAAATACTGAAAACATCAAGAAGAAAGTAATGTATCATGTAAAAGGGAACAATCATATGTTACTGGCTCACTTCTCATCAGAAATAATAGAGTTCAGAAGGTAGCAGAATGAAATATTTGAAGTGCTAGGGGAAAAATAATAAAATTTTTAAATGAACCTAGAATTCTGTAAGTGAAGACAAAATAGGTACATTCCAGATAATCGAAACTGAGAGAATGCTAGCAGACCTTCTATAAGAAATATGTCTACCATACAAACTCTAATCAAAAGAAAGCTGGAGTGGTAATATTAATATAAGATAAAATACATTCAGAGTAAGGAATATTACCAGAAGTCAGGAGCGTTCATAAAGGGGTCAATTCATCAGGAAGACATAACAATCCTAAAATTTTATGCACCTAATGAGCTTCTAAATGCATGAAAACCCAAAAGAACTAAATTAGACAAATCCATAAATATGGTTAGCGATTTCAATATTCCTCTTAGTGAATAAAAGAAAATTAACAAGGGTAGAGAAGTCTTTAAAATATATCTTAAATTTTTCAATCATCTGGAAATTAAACAACACACTTCCAAGTAATCATTTAGTCAAAGAAAAACATCATAAGTGAAACTGAAAAATAGTTTGAACTAAATGGAAATGAAAACACAAGATATCAAAATCTGTAAGAGGAAGTTAGATCAGTATTCAGGGTAAAATTTGTAATTTTAAATGAAAGAAGAGAATGGTCTAAAATCAATTACCTAAATGTCCATTTTAAGACTCTGGAAAAATAAGAGCAAACTACATCAAAAGAAGATGGTTGGGATTAATAAAGATAGAAAAGGTAATCAATGAAATATAAAACAGACAATAGAGAAAATCAATTAAACCAATTTTATAGAGACAACTAGAATGCCCATACAATGCTGGTAGGAATATAAAATGGTACACTTTGAGAATCTGGTGACTTCTTAAAAGTTAAACTGACACCTATCTTAAGTCTAATTATTCCATTCCTATGTATTTACTCAAGAGAAGTGAAAACATATGTCCACAAAATGACTTCCAGAAATATTCAGAACAACTTTATTCATACTAAACAAATCCTGGAAACCCAAAGGTCCATAAACAAGTCAACGGGTTGTAAAAGTGTATACAAACATACACTGATCAATGAACATTAAAGAAATTAATGAAATATGCAACAATATAGATGAATCTCAGTTGTAATTCTGAGAGAATGAAGCCTTAACCAAAGACCATACAGTATTTGACTCTAAATTCTTGAACAGGCAAAACTAATCCATAATGACAGGAAGCAGATCAATTGTCACTTGAGTTGCGGTAGGGGTGGGCTGACTGCAAAAGGGATATGGAAGAAACTTTTCAGGATGATGGAATCTGTATCTTGATTGGGATGATGGTTACACTGAATACCTTCATCAAAATACAAACTGCAGACTTAAAACGGATATGTTTTATTGTATGAATTATACTTCGTTTCTCTGCATCTCAAGTTTCTTATTCATAGCTCAGAGATAATACTTCACAGAGTGGTAAGGTTATAATGAAATAGTACACATACCCAGCGCAATGCCTACCATGTAGTAAGCAGTTCATTATTCATCAGTTCTCCACCTGAATACCTGCTGTTTCTAAGGAGCTTTCAAGATTCCCATACCATTACTAAGACAGCTGCAGTTAAAAAATTCTTCTTCATAGGGAACTAAAATGCCTCTCTCTAACCTACATCCATTGATCCTAAGTCTACCCTCTCTAGAGCAGTGGTTCTCAAACTGAGGCGTGCATCAGAATCACTTGGAGGGGTGGTGCAACACAAAGACTGCTGAGGCTTATCCCGATCGTTTGATTCAGTAGACCTGGAATGAGACCTGAGAGTTTGCATTTCTGAGTTCCCAGGTGATGCTGGTGATGCCAGGGATTCCACTCTGAGAAGCACTGCTTTAGAGAATCATAAATTATAAGACCACTCATACTTCCAAGTGCATCATTTTAAACACTGGAAGAGTTAACATTTTTTAACTTCCCTTTTTTCCAAATTAAAGCAGTCTTAGCTCTTCCAAACCTCACTTTCCTAGTTCTCTGTTAGAATGTCAATATTCCTCCTAACATGTAGCCCCCAGGACTGAGACTTCCAGTTGGGACCTGACTAGTACCACCCCTCCGCCACCCCATAAAAAAGACAACAATCATTTATCTTAACCTGAACAGTTTCCCAGGTTTAGGTTTTTCGGTGTGTGTGTAGTTGTGTCTTTGTCAATCAAACAATTCCTGATTGTTTATCACCAACTGCTATAAGAGCAGGTCTTGCTAATATTCTTATACAGAGCCTGTCATAAACTTCTGTCAAGCAAACCCTTTGTTCCATGAACCAAATTTCTGAATTAAAAAATGCTCCAAAGGACAGGACCAATAATACAACAGTATACTTGTTCAAAGAGTAATTTCAACAGTAATATATACCTTTGCTTCAGAACTACACGATGCATATTCTTCAAGTCCTCAAGTACTTAATGAAAACATGCTTATCTGAATCACTGAAAATAAAAGCTGGAATTCTACAGTTTCAATAGAAATGGTATGTGCAATTTCCTCCACACCCATGCTATTACGTTTCAAAATTAATTCCTATATTTCCTGCAAAAATATAATTCTTGGTTGAGGGAAAAAATGATTAAACGTAATGACTTGCCAAGCAAAAATTCATGTACCTGTGGCCAAAAATGGTCATCTGAAGGACAGAAAACAATCCCTGCTTTCTTATGTGTAAATTTCCTCCAGCAGGTGAGAGAGTATATAGAAATGAGAAGATCAATACTGCATACTTGGAAAACAAATTTTTAAAGTAAATTAAAATCATGTTCCTAGACTCTAAAGTTTCTAGTTGTATCCTTTCAATACACTTCAATAGTACAGGAGCAATTATTTAACCTAGAGAATAATGATTAATAATTCAGAGGAATTATTACAAAAACCACAAATAACACATAATTAAGTAAAGTTAGTTTATTTTACCTGTAGCTCTTCCAATATAAATTTAATGTAAATGCTGATACTGAGAAATATTAGGAAGAATTACTGATAGATGTCAGAATATCATGCCTTCCAATCCATCCTCCATGAACTTCTTATAAAGTGCCATAAATTTGGCCACAAATGCTTCCAAGTGATAAATGGCTTTGCTACCCAGCTGTAGACGATGTTCATAGTAAGCTGCCATCTGGGCCACTTCCCCTTTCAGTTGTCCATCACAATTATGTAAAAGTTCTGAGAGAAGGCCCTAAAGAAAGATAACTAGTAATTAAAAAAGTAATCATTTTTAAAAAATATTAGCTGAAAATGCTTTATTTCTCTCATTCAAAAAGGAAGTAAAACTTAAGTATGTTCTTTTTTTATTTCTGATGGACCAGCAGACTTCATCCAAAAGTACATACCATTCTCTAATGTAAAAATGTGAGTTATCTTTCATATTCCAACTCTAAATATTTAAATGTACAACGGTGCAAAGATATAAGTACAAAGATGCTTACCGCAGCATTATTAATTACAATAATCTGTAGACAACCTAAAGCTCCACCAACAGGGGTCATATCCAAAAACTGTGGTATAGTCATACAATGAAATCCCACCCATCCACTAAAAAGAATAAGGTAAATCTGTACTGTCATGAAACAGCAACCATACTACACTGCTGAATTTTTAAAAAGAAGGGGAAAAAAAAACAAACAGTGCAGGACACTGAAGTTTTGTGAAACACACAAATATATGGGCTTATTTCTATGTGACTAGAAAAGAGGTCTTATGGAAACAGAGTGTGGAGCTTCACTTTTTTCTTTGTATATTTGGTATCATTTGAATTTTTTCATGTAAGGATTACCAGGTAATTCTAATAAATACAAACAAACAAAAAAACAGTGTGTTCCCTAAAATCTAACAGTCAGCCTATCTATCCAGCTGGGGAGTTGATTAGGTTTAGATCAGCCCTAAAACTGTGTCTTACAGTATCCCTCTGCCTCCTTCTTTAACCTCATTACTCAAGTGCACCGGGCCTTGTTGTCTGCAATACTTGTTCCCCAGCTACTTATATGGTTCCCTTCTTTTAATCCTTCAAGTTTCAGTTTAAACATACCTTTCTCACAGAAGCCATCACTGACCTTCCATAACCCTGCCCTCCATTGTTACCATTTCACCTGGTTACTTCCTTTGTGGCACCTGGAACATTCTGAAATCCTCTTGCTTCGTTTCCCATTTCACCCCACAAAAGTGTAACTTCTCTGAAGGCAGGCCCACCCGTCCCCTTCAACACACCCCTAAAGGTGCCTGAAGCACTGGAAGCTCAATAAATATCTGTTGAACTAATGAGCTAGACAGAAAGAGGTGACAATGTATCTTAGTGCAGCAAAAGCCCTGAGATCACACAAAGTCCAAGTTTTATGGTTATAAACAGTTCAAAATTTGAAATCAGGATACCTTCATTATTATTTCAGGAGGAATACAATGAGTTAGAAGCTCATAGAGTCTCCCACGAACTTCAAGGAGCCTATACAAAACAAAACAATATTCTGTGATAAAAATAGGAGGTAATTTTTCCTCTGTACTGTCTTAGTTTACAAATTAAACATCCCAATACAGACATTTTCTTAAATGGCTTATCATACTTAAGATACACCTATGGAAGCTTATCCTAATTTCAGTTCATTTTTCTAAAATGATATAATAATTGCTCACTAAATATTAGCTGCTATTCAAATTAGAAAATTATGAATTTTCTAAGATATGTCAAACACGAATCAAGACTAAGGGGTCAAAAATCAGAAGGAGTCATTTGGTACTGTGTGGACCAATTTTCAGAATGACACTAGCCATCCCAGTATTTCTGCACAGCTCCAAGGTTTTCTGAAATTAAGAGAAATTTCTTTTTATACAGCATAATGGCATCAACTCCCAAAACTGTTAGTCTAAATAGGCAACAGCAGCACTCGAACAAGTTCATTTATGAGCTGTCAAAACCTGTTTGGAAACTGGAGGAAAAGGCCGCAGCAGCTAGAATAATTAAGTAAAGTAATAATCAACTGAAGTCTTAAAAATACATCTAATAATAGTCGAATAGTCAAATACTGCAACATCTGTACCTAAATCTCTTAAGAGCAGGAAAGTTCAACTACTACCACCAATTTTTCTTCATTAAAATCAGAACAAAAACAAGAAAGTCACCTTTAGCGTGGAAATATTTTATGAAAGTAAAAGGCTCCCAAGACACACTTTGTTTGAATTTTATTTCTTTAAAGCCTGAAATTTCTTCACTGCTTGACGGTATTTTACAGAACGGAATGCACATTTTTTCCTAAAGTCAATGTTTCTTTTCTGAAGAACCTACCTAAAACATTTGCACTTTTCGAAAACTATTAATTTCTTCAACTAAAATAAATGAATTAATAGGAATTCAATGCAAATACCACATACCCATTATCTATGACTATTCACCTCCTCTAATCTATATGGTAGCCCAAGAGTACATATTATCATTTCCTTTGAAGAATTTCTTATAAAAATAAGAATTCATCAGATATACCATACAAGAAGAGAAACATGGTATAATCCTCTCATGATTATTTTCACGTAAACCACGGAAGCTTACATTTCAGTGGTTGCATTCAGTCTAGTCTGTTTCCTAAAAGAATCAACCCTCTCTAAAGTCCAAAGATGGTTTCTCAGTTCTGACAGGCAAAAAAAAGTAGCAAACTGTGTCTCAGTGAGCCTAAGGGACCTTCACTAGATGTTCCAAAGGTAGTGAGTGGGCCTTAAGACTGTCACTCTTGATTTGGAGAAGAGCAGACTGCCCTTCTCAATCAAAGCTGTCATGATAAATCAAACAAGCAGTGGCTGAAGTACTTTCAGTATGGTCTACTACTGAATAAGAGACCTAGGAAGTAAACAGAAACAACTGTACAGCAAATATGCACAGAACACTTCCTAAATACTGATGGCATATACACAATATTATTCTTAACAAAGCCTGTCATCACACATGAGCACCGGGTCTTCCAGTTCTCAATCCATTATCACACAATCTCTTCTGCTCTTATAACAAAGGTACAAGTATCCCTGGCAGAGTAAAAATAATAGCATCTTCATTATACAAATGAAAAAGCTGAAGCTCTAAGATGAAGTTACCTGCTCAAGGACACTTAGCTAAAAATCAGTAGAGGAACTAGAAGTCTGACCCAAAGTCTAGGGTCTTTCCATGACACATCAATACAAAGTTATATACTGTGATTTTCAATATTAGAAAGCTAGACACATCATGCTATGTATTAATATTAAATCATCCAAGATTCTGGGAAAAACCTAAAACTTCCAAAATTTGTTTTAATTTATGTAGAAGTTCCACATTTACATGCCAATAGCCATGATATCATATGCTAACTATTCTGAACCACTAAATTTCTAAAATTAAATCCTACCTTTTCTTTGTAAGTGTAGTATTATAGATTTAATTACAATTCTAAATGGCATGGTATTAGCATAAAACAGCTAACCTAAAACTTAGAACATCTGTACTATCTCAATGACCAAACTTTCATGGTGATCTTTTACAGCGGTTACCTCTGTGGAGTCTGCTGACTGACAATAGCATTGGCAGTCTCCCTCAGATACACCTCCCAATCTGTTTCAGGGATTTCTTGATCTGCAGTAAAAGGATATCTACATGACAAAAAGAGAACACAATAAGTTAAATGAAAGTGGGCTTATGTCCCAGAATGTTTCCCACGGTAACTTCCCCCTTTCACTCACTGTTGCACTCTGCAGGCTTCACACATAAGCAGGGCTTTTCTGAGATTTCTGCAGGACTTCTCTGCAAGTCTACGAGCCAGTTGTGAAGGAAGATTTAGACCTTCCTTCTTGCACACAGTAGATAACACATGGCAAATCTACAAACAAAATAATTAACAAAAATGGGCAATCTGTCAAACAGCATACTGAGACAATTTCTGTTAATATCTTTATAGACCCTCCCCAACCTTTTTCTTAGGTCACTACCCTACCCTAACCCACTGCTCCTTCAG